AAAAGCCGGTTCTGAGTTTTCGTTATCGGTCACTAGTAAAATTTCACCCAGTAATCTTAAGAAACTACCAAATTACTCAAGTAATCTCTAAGCCCACAGCAGCTAGCGGGAAGTCAGGGCGGGGGAAGCAGGGGCACACGCAACAAGTAGCCACTTGGCCCTCCCTACCCTGTGGCGCCATTGCTGGTTTTATTCGCCACTTTACCCCATTTACATCATCAAGTTTGGGCATTACGGGAACAATTGGGTTCTTGATTTGGGTCGCGAGCCTCGAGAGAGTTTTGAACTATGGCAGTTTCTGCTGAACTAATCATAGAGTCTGTAGAACTGTACGAGTCTGTAGAACTGTCGAGGTATACCTCGATGTTCTTGTCACCTGGGTTTTAGGATAGGCACATTTATTTTCCTACCGGTTTAATATTATCGACAGTTTAATAACAACAGACATTAAAAAAAATATTTTTCGTTTGTGGTAGGACCACGGGTGTTCATGATAGGATTGAGCTACTTTCCTACAGGATGGTGGTATCTGCAGTGTAAGTTCCAGTGTACTTCTTTCAATAATACATTGTTTTTCGATTTCGAGGAGCACCTTTGATTCTGGGTCGTGAATATTTCCAACTGCGATCGTGAAATATCTTTGATCTAAAAGTTGTATAAGTTATAATTATAACAGGAAAGCATGTAACTATAATTGAAGCACCTATTTTCTACATTTGTTCATGAAATCGATTGACAGTTGATTGATTATCAAAGAAATAAAGATCAAAGAACAACCAAAGCATAAGCACAAAATAAAGAGTTTACAGAAGGTTTACTCGACCCCATTCAGATTTTTTGCGATCGTATCGGTAATACAGTAACATCTGATACAAAGACGTCATATGATTCGGAGCCCATTTTAATCCAAGAAATATGACATTCGTGGCAACCAACTTCTTAGTTACCTTGACCACAAATTAGGGAAACGGCGCGCGGCGTCTCTATTTTGTGCCTTGACTTCTCCTGAGATTCCAGTTAAATCAGTAAGCGTCTAAATCGTCGCTAGTACTGAGTGGGCCATCTGTATAGGCGCCCAGCGCTCCATTTGCCTAATTTGTGCTCTTGGTTCGATTTTCTGTAAAGTTCAGATATTAATTCAATCAAATGTAAATGTCGCTTAAGGCCACCCCCACCGGAAGCTCATCAAAGTGGGTCGCGTATTTCCCTAAAACAAACACTTTTAAATGGATTACTTGCTAATTTAATTGAGTTTTTATTGGCCCTCGCTAATTCAGCTTTCCCCCTCCTCCCTTGGCAAATACTTTTCTTTCGTCTGAGTAATTGGTCAATATTGGTACCTATTTGCATATCGTTCTATCATATGCTATCTCCTAATGGGCGAGGCTTATGTCCAGCAGTGGTATTGTGGCGGGATATGTTATGTTATGATGTTCTAACTAATGATGTGCCGTGTTGTACTGGCTTAGAATAGCATCACTATATCTTTTCCTTAGATGTCGTGAGAAACGACTAAGCGATTTGAGAGTGAATGTGTCTTGCAATTTTAGGCGACAGGCTGACAACCTGTTGCTATGGTGAAACACAGCCTACTGAAAGACTCTTAAACTTTTTTCCACATGGTGTAAATGCCCGTTACAGCCGTTTACGCGTTGCCTACTCTGCAAGCAATATAGGCGGGATATAAATAGGTATGTTCTAACTAGCAAAAATTGAGGATATGGTTATGTTATGATACGAAGGTCTAACTTAATTTTACAGACATTACAGTGGCCAATCTAAACACACAGGGAGTTCGGAGAAGGAAAAAAACCGAAAAATAAGTTGTTAGACGTGATCTGTAAGGATAGAATACTGTCCTGTGACTCGATTAAGGCATATACGTCCAACAGAGCAAAGTAGAGAAAAAAAACTAAAAAGGCAGACCCTATCATCAGATTTGAATAATAATATCCAAGGAGAAAGCGAGCTTTCATTTTACTAATGAAGTATTTTTACGGCCGTTGACGCTCTACCTTCCCATCAAGGGACAAAATCGTGATGTATGTAAGCATTTTATCAAAAGTAGCTACGAGAATGACCTGTCTATCATCATCTTCCTGCCCTTATCCCAATTACTTGGGGTCGGCGCAACACGTTTTGTTGAACACAAAATCGTGTTGCAAAGGATTTGGCTTAATTTTACGACCGGCCGCCTACCAGACGTCAACCCTCCTTGGGAATGCTTTGGTGGTGGATTAACCGTCACCATACGGTTGGCCCTGGCTGTTAGGATCGGGTTTATCCCTCGGTCGCTTCTTACGACCCCCACGGGAATAGAGGGAGTGGTGCTTTTCTACTCTGCCGGCACCACACGGACAATGACCTGTCATAATCGAAGATTTTTACCATGTTCACCGTGACATCGTGTCGATAACGCCCACGGGAAACAATGTGCATAATTCGCTGGCATAATTAATTGTATGTTTATCCTGCTTGGTACACAGTTAATTCAATAATCCTCTACGGTGTAACAAGCAAGATAACATATACAAACGTGACATTGAATAATAATAGTTATATACATTATCATAATCAATCATGATTGTCATAATTATTTAAATCTAGGTTAGTTGTTTTATGCGTTGAATAATTTATAAGTAGGTTGGTAGGTACCTAAATCAAATTATTTTCAAAAATAGCGTATTCTGATGTATTTACTAAGACGTTCTGTTATGTTACCTTTAGTTTCTCTGAGATTCCAGTTAATTCCAGTAAGCGTCAATTAGCGTCAAAATCTCGTGTGAGCCATCTGCAAAGAAACCTTGCGCACCCTATCCCTAATTTATGGTGGTACAATGGTATACAAGTTTTATTTATCTGAATTCCGACTCCACTTGCTTATAAAAATTGTATTCTCAGACCCTCTACGAATCTCCGTAGCAAAAGGCTACGAAATTGTACGGCTATACTACGAGTCATATTGTTTGTCTTGTCTACGCAGCGGTTTTTACATTACTCGCATGTTTTCCGGTATTTTGCCGAATGCGAGTTGATAGAGGAAAAGAAAATACAAAATCCCATTCCAAAACCGGATACCACTGCACACATCTCTGCCCCGCCTTTCAGAGGTTATTGGTTACCGCGAACCAAGGTCAAATAAAATTAGACGTCCTATACAGACTGAAAAATTACCTTTTTGTATGTTTAAGCCGAATGTAGAGCGAGGAGATCTCAAATAAAATGGCCACATCATTCATCACAAAAACCACAAAATGCCATGCCGGCTTTCGCCATTTAAAATGATGGCGTATAAAGCTTTTATGACGCTTTTATTGCGCAAAAATCTGGTTGGGTGGTCATTCGTTCATGTCAAGTGGGATAACGAGTAGTGAAACGACCCGGGGAGCCCTGCTGTCAGAGTAGTTAATCCGCTTACTAAGGAACTACCTAACGGCATAACGACCGCCATATATGTACTATCATAGACACCTACCATGTTTATCGAAACATTAAACAAACCTACTGGCAGCCATTGCCCTATTTTATCAAACTACAGGCCAAAACGGTTACAAATCTACATGTAAATTCGATTTCCTTTTTGTAGCCCCTTAGCTTTTATGATCCCAGCTACGAAATGTACTGAGAATTTTACCATAGTGGGCAGCAAAGTCAAACAGTGATACAAATTCAAATTGAAAGATAGTCAAACAATAATATGAAATTTTTAGGGTTTCGTAGTCTACTAGAAACCCTTATAGTTTCGTCATGTCTGTCTGTCTGTCTGTCTGTCTGTCTGTCTGTCTGTCTGTCTGTCTGTCTGTCTGTCTGTCTGTCTGTCTGTATGCCGCGCCCTCATATCTTCGTCAGTTTTAGAGCTAACGACATTGGTGAGAAGATAGATCGTGTTGACCCAAATATAGAAATGTTAAGAAAAAAATATTTAAATGTTTTTTGGGCCCCCTCCCATACAAGTGAAAGGGGGGCAAAATAATTTTTTTTCTTCTGTAATATTGAGTAGGGTATCGTTGAATAGGCCTTTTAAAACTAAGGTGAAGTTTCTTTGAAACAAAGTCACTAAAATGTTTCGGTCACGAGATATTTGCTTTTAAAAAGGGCGTTTTTGACCCATAATTTGTTCCAGCTGTAACTTCTAAAGTATAAACGCTAAACATTTGAAATAAATATGGAATATAGCTTACAATCTGAAGTTACAATGAAAACTATAACGGATATTGTACCCTTAAAGGTTTCAGAAAAAAATTGAGTTTTTCTATTTGCGGTTGGTCATCATACTGCTGCTAACAAACCAGCAACAAAATTAAGTTTGCAATGCTGAAAAACCTGATATTTAAACGTTGACTACGAAACCCTATTTGTGGGCGTGTCTGACACGCTCTTGGCCGTTTATTTTTGTAGATACAGCAGCAAATGCAGTGTTCATAAAAAATTGAAACACCAAGCGGAGCAGACAGAAAGGCGCTGAATAAACCGTGTTGTTTAATTTGCCACTGGAACGCAAAGGCCACTGGACTCTCATTCAATAGTGCCACTGGAACGCAAAGGCCAGTGTTCTCATTCAATAGTCATTTTGTTTCACTTCGCAATGAGATTAGACTGTGCTCGGGCAAACGATTTAAGGCCCGATTTTGCCGCTACTGAAAAACGTCTTTAAAAGTCGATAAAATGAAGTAAGCGGATTCTCGAGTGGAGGCCACTCCCTGGCAAGTATAGTGTTAGGCACCCTCCCGCCAAATGGACCGATGACTAAAAGAGAACGTCTGGTTTCGATTAGATGGCTAAAACCTTGATCGTGCCTTTTGGCGTACACTTCAGGATGATATGAACATGTGGTAATGATTAAATATAGGTGGAGAATACAAAAAAAACACTTCTAAGTTCGATATAATTTTTTTGGGAAACTTGCAAAATTTTTCAAAATTTGTCGCTGGGAAATTTTTGCAAAACTACTCCGCCCGGTAGATGGAGCTGTACTCTCTTAATCCGCAGGCTAGGATTGAACAGCGGTATCCCAGTTGGTAGCCGTCGGCAGTACAGATGCCGAAGGTTGCAGGTTCAAATCCTGCCCGCGGTGGAAAATTTAGCAGAAGGTATTAGTTGCCATAAGTTTGACGTACAAATTCCTCATTTCGGCGCTAACGTGATCCTAACTGCGTAATTTGTTTCCAATCTAGCAATATCAAAATTTTAGTTCTGTTATCCACTTATAATTTGTCCACTTGGTTGACTCTTGTCGTTTAACTAAAAAAATTAAGTACAGTGCAGTAAAAAAGAGTAGACAAAAAATGAGGCCACTTTGTACGAAATTTCAAAATTAAATGGCAACATTCGCTATGAATGGCAACAATTTAGTATGAAAATTATTTAGTTCCATTTTATTTAATTTCTACTCTTTTTTGCTGGACTGTACCTATGTATATTTCAATCTTTCAATTCATGACAATGTTAAAAGTACGTTTGTAACCTTAAATTGTCGCTCATCGGCCAATGACAATAATTTTCATCGATATTCTAACACTTTAGTGTGCGTTCAGAAATTAGTTCAAAATAACATTTGATTGTTCTGAAATTGCTTTAAGAAAACTGTTTGATGTTACTTCAAAGAGTTGAGAATTTGTTCGTAACATTAACAAATGGAGTGCAATTAATAAAGGTGCGATCAATCACTAGGGATGCGACTTTAGTAACAAAAAATCAATATTTCAATAATCGATTATTTCTAGCAAGCCATTAAACCGACTAAAAATAAATCGATTTTATCCAATGCAAACATTAAGTTTAAAAATAATCGAGGTTTTAATATTTTACTTGACTTAACGCATGATTTGTTGATATCGACAGATGGAAAACCTGCCGTCGAAACTAAATTTTACAGTTACAAGGGACCTAAAATAAGGTGTCATATATTTTTATTGATCTTATACAAGACCTATAACAATCGTCGGTGCAAATAGGTGCTGCAATAAAAAAAAAAAATTATGTTCTCACAATCACAATTCTAAAAATCGATTACCTAATTAATATATGACGTTAAAACGTTAACGTTATGGAGTTAGAGTCAATAGTGTCACGTGATATCGTGCTTTTTTCAAAAAAGCATCGATTTTCGAATAATTGATAGTTTTTTACATCTCTATCAATCACCCAGATCCGCCATCTTGAAAGTTTGAGAACACTTAAGAGTTTTGTTTAATTACTTTTGTGGAATTGAATAAGCTGCTTAGTGGCTATGAACCGCAATTAAAGTTATTTGAATCAAATCTTTGCGATCGAAAAGAATTAAGGCGAGATATGTAGGTATGTAAGTAGGTATTATCAGTGTGGTGCCGGCTCAAAATAGCATCACTCCTAGTGGGTAGAATTAAACAAAACTTTTGTTGAGTTGAGTGGGTACCTATCGTAAAAACCGACTAATGGATATTTTCATCCAGGGAATGGGCAGCAGCGTTCTGTGAATGAAACATCTTGCACCGCACTTAACAATCCGACTGCTAAGCTTAGTGAATATGGCAATACCACCTGAAAGGGGAAGGCCGAGGTCCAGCAGTGGACTGCTGTGGCTGTAGTTATGTGTAGGGTTCGAGTATAGGTACATAAGCAAGCTATAGAGTGCGCCTAAAAAGTTAGAACTGTTGGCAGTTCTTAGAACACAACCTCTCTGTCCATCAGTAGCAAAACACCTGTGACAGCACTATTGAACCTCTATGACTTCTCATATACATTGACGTCTGTATCTAGGGAGCAACTGCTTACGCTTTGACAGTACGGCGCGAACCGATATGCGCACTCTATAGCTTGCTTATATACTCATGTGTAGGTATATGTGGACGAGTCTTTATTAGGTTTTAGTGACGCTGGCTGAAAAACTAGTCAGAATAAAGCCATAATTTAAGTAGGTACAGAAAAAAACAGGACACTGATATTTCAGTCTGGATCGTTTTAATCAAAATGCTATAAGCGTATAATTAAAATTGTGAATTTCTCTTTGATTGCAGTATACCACACCTGCCTAAAATAAAATTGTGACTCAAAATCTTTGACATCATATTAATATGATTCAATATTTCATTCATGCATGACATGACTGAATTTTATGTCACATCACAGGAGTATCACATTTGACGTCCATTGCTGCGATCTTCAAACGCATGCGTCAGGAATAAGCGAATTTTCACCTTATTTCCATATTTTGTTCTTATCATTTACCTTTACAGCCACAACGGTCCACCGATGGACATGGGCCTCCCCTTCTCGGGATAATTAACCCGCTTTTTACGACATCCACGGGTACAATTGGGGTGACGCTATTCTAAGACGGCATCACACCGCACATATTACGATTTGCAATCATCATCATCTTCCTGCCCTTATTTGCAATAAGACAACCAATAATAAACATAACTCAATGAAAAATCTATAGGCCTTCGTTTGATAGAATTATCTAATAAAGAATTTTACTATTAACGACATTTCTAATGGATAAAAGTTTAATTAAATGATAAAAGATTACAATTTTCGCGAAGTAATATTGGAAGTGAGAAATTGAAAGGTACAGTCTCTTCCGCTCATTCATGAACAATCCAAAGACTGTAGTATTTTAAAGCAACAATTTACTTTCCTAGATGCAGCAACATTTATTGAATACAACATAGTTTATGTCCGGATTGTCAGTATCAATCACAAAAAAATTGAAACCTTTAAAATTGAATTGTTCATGAGTTAGCGTGAGAGACTACACACTCAGGTTCGGTATTGTCTATAGTAATTAGGCTTCAAAAGATAAGTACACTCTCGTAACTGAATTTTATACCACTCCGCTAGCTTAAGATGGAAATCTAATTAATCTACCTAGATGATATTACCTTGCTCCCGTTTTCACTTCTCCGAACAAAATATTTTATTTGGTAACTCTAGGATAAAGGTGCAAGATCGTTGGGAGCGCCCGATTGTAGCCGCACGGAGCTGCGACCATGCGACTGACGCTAGTGGCTGATTCGGCTATAGTCGTAGTATGAAAGTGTATGGTGTCGCATTCGAGGGGTGCGACAAACGCGTGCGGCCGTGCGCTATTTCATACTAAGTACGACTAAAGCCGCAACGGCTGCACCTGACGAACTTGCACCTTAAATTAATGCAAGGCAAAAACATGCGTCGACTTATGCGTCTGTTTTTAGTATGGGGATTACAAAATATCCTTGACAGACACATGCGTAAGCGCTACGCTAAAAATGCGCAGCATCCCTGTGAACCACGCCATACGCTAATTCTAAATAAATACCGTTATACAAGCCTTTAGTATTCCGCAACATATTGACACAAATAGATCTTGAAATGTGTTCCACTCCCGCGCAGACGTTTGCATCTAAGAATAACTGCGCGTAGTTAGAAATAGGCGGATTTGTAAATGGTACATAATTTAATGACTTGCTTGAAGATCAAAATTGCAACGGATGTAGTTGATATATTTAACGTCAGAAAATCAGATTTATATTTAAGTGTTGGAAATGCGTAACAAATAAATTACCTTAAGTATCTAAGATGCCGGCTTAGAATAGCATCATCCCTATTCTACCCGTGGGTGTCGTAAAAAGCGACTAAGGGATAATTATCCAGGGCAGGGAATGGGCAGCAGCGTTCCCTGTAAATGCAACATCTATTACTGCGCTCGCCACTCCGCCAGCCAAGCGTGGTGAGTATGGCAATAGCCCCCGTTAGGGGGAGGCCCATGTCCAGCAGTGGACTGTTGTGGCTGGTATGGTATCTAAAGGGGTGGACTAACTGTCTTAAACTTTCGCGGTCACACTTACTGACTACAAATAATAAAAATTATAAGTAAAAAACATTTTTAAAACAAGCTTTTATTTGGGTGCGCTAAAAAGTATAAAATAATCTATTTACTAAAACTTTAACTTGTAACTTTTAATGATTTAATAAAATCATGATTTTCCATAAACAATTTTAACCCCTTTATTTACCCCTTTATACGATATAAAAGCTTGTCGCGAGATTTAAGTAGGTACTCGTGTAGTGTGACTTAGTTTAAAAGTTTATTTAAGATCATTTACACTGGTTTTCTAATTTATTTATTGATTTAGACACAGGTCAAATCTCGCGACAAGCTTTTATATCGTATAAATTGTGAAGACGTAGATTTAATGCCATTAAAAGTTACAAGTTAAAGTTTTAGTAAATAGATTATTTTATACTTTTTAGCGCACCCAAATAAAAGCTTGTTTTAAAAATGTTTTTTACTTATAATTTATTTTTTGCTTTTTAGTAACCTCTGGAAAAAATTACAACATTCTTCATTGACTTTGAAACTGCGTCCATACGGACTACTAGTGCGAATCTGCGAGGCATCGGTCTCATGACTGTCTTACGACAACTCGGTATGAGTTTCGTCCTCTACGATAAGCTTCTTGTACCCAAGCGGGTTACTCGCTGAACTTTATGTTGCTTCTTCATTGACAGTGCCATGAACAGAAGACTAAAAACCCCAACACAACAACCATTCAACCCCTAAAAATCTGTGCAAAGCGACGTCATTTACCTCACACTAGTATTTATCTTTCATTTGTCTATGTTTTTCACCCATTTAGTAAGAAAACATAACAAACTTAATACGCCATCTAACCTTTAGTCTGTCATATCTGGTTTTATTTTGAGTGACGTAAACGTCACTTTATTTTTCGAGTTATTCTGAAAAATTCCTTTCATTTGATATCCTTATTGTAAAAAAGCATAAAAATTTTATTCTGCCATCTTAAGAAGTCCACCATAGTTACCACCATAGTTAGAATGACGTCAACTTGTAATTCGAATAGGTAATTCTCAGCAAGCCTTTCATCTGACACTCATATTGTAAATTATCATAGGTGGCCATCTTTAGATGTCCGCCATATTATTTTCTAAATTGTACTCAGCAAGCCCTTTCATTTGACACCCATATTGTAGGAGTGCGTCAAAGATTACTTGTCGGCCATCTTGGATATTCCGCCATATTGGATTTAGAATAACCACACACAATCTAACATGCATTGTCATCTGAGTTAAACGTGTTTACAAAATTTCAGC